CCTTTTTCTCCTTTAGGTTGTCTTTCTTCTACTTTGGGTATTTGTTCCTGTTTATAAAGCCAAAGGCTCATACGTTACTAATTTACAGTTCATTATGATAGTTTTTGAACATAAGAAAGGAGGAACACTGTAGCAGGCCTGTTGGCCCACACTAGACAGGTCCTTCACAATCCATCCCAATAACAGAATATTTGCACAACCCAATTTTCAGTTCTTCCCAAGCAATAAGTTTTGATAATTCTATTACTCATGTACAAGTACAACTCAAATCCAACCCCTCTCACTCATGTATTTATCCAACCTAAATTTGAAACTACCCATCGTTACTATACTGTCGGCATCACCGAACTGTCTGTCAGCATCACTACACTGTCGGCGTCACCATACTGTCAGTGTCACCATATTCGCTCTCCAGTCACTGCCCAGACTAAGGGTCGATAACCCAAATGAATTCTTTATGAACGAAGCCCAAAATTTGGACATCCCAAAAATCTCGGATATTATCCTAACTTTGCAAGACTTTGAAGAAGCAATAAATGACATGCCCATGCACTCTGCCTCATGGAACTCCGTGTTCATCAAAAACTGCAAGAAGCCTCTATTGCTTTCCTTCATCATTTTATGGAGAGGGACCATGGACACAGGGGTCATCCTACACACACTAAAAACAACAGACATAGCCATACTCCACAAAGGTGGCAGTAAAGCAATAGCAAAGAACTACAGACCGATAGCACTAACATCCCATATCATAAAAATCTTTGAGAGGGATCTAAAATGCAAGATCGCCAACCACCTAGATACCCATCAATTACACAACTCAGGGCAACATGGGTTTAGAGCAGGTCGCTCCTGCCTGTCCCAGCTACTGGACCACTATGACAAGGTCCTGGCTGCTATGGAGGATAAACAAAATACAGATGTAGTATACACAGACTTTGCAAAAGCTTTCGGCAAGTGTGACCATGGTGTAATAGCACACAAAATGCGTGATAAAGGAATAACAGGAAAAGTTGGTAGATGGATCTATAACTTCCTGACAAATGGAACACAAAGAGTAATACTAAACAGAGTAAAGTCCCAGGCAGCCACGGTAAAAAGCTCTGTTCCACAGGACACAGTACTCGCTTCCATTCTATTCCTCTTCCTCATTTCTCACATAGACAGAAATGTAAGTCATAGCTCCGTGTCTTCCTTTGCGGATGACACCCGGTTCACCATTGCAGTGACCTCCATCGAAAACACCGCGAGACTCCAAGCGGACATAAACCAAATCTTCGAATGGGCCACTCAAAACAATATGAAGATCAACGAGGAAAAATTTAAATTACTCAGATATGGGAAACTTGAGGAAATTAAAAATGTATCAGGGTATACGACAAATTCTAACCATACAATAGAGCGGAAAAGTAATGTGAAGGACCTGGGAGTGATAATGTCAGAGGACCTCACCTTCAAAGACCACAACAGTGTATTTACCTCATCTGCTAGGAAAATGGTAGGATGGATAATGAGAACCTTCAAAACTAGGGACGCCAGCCCATGATGACTCTCTTCAAATCGCTTGTGCTCTCTAGGCTGGAATACTGCTGTACATTAACGGCCCCCTTCAAGGCTGGCGACATTGCAGACCTGGAGAGTGTACAAAGAACTTTCACGGCACATATAAGCACGATAAGGCACCTAAATTACTGGGAACGGTTGAAGGTCCTTGATCTGTATTCCCTGGAATGCAAGCGAGAGAGATACATAATAATATACACTTGGAAGGTCCTGGAGGGATTGGTACCAAACCTGCACACGAAAATCATTCCATATGAAAGCAAAAGACTCGGCAGGAGACGCAACAGTTCCCCGATGAAAAGCAGGGGCGCCACGAGTACATTGAGAGACAATACAGTAAGTGTCTGGGGCCCAAGACTGTTCAACTGCCTCCCAGCCTACATAAGGGGGATTACCAATAGACCCCTGGCTGTCTTCAAGAAGACACTGGACAGACACCTAAAGTCAGTACCTGACCAACCGGGCTGTGGTTCGTACGTCAGCCTGCGTGCGGCCAGTAGTAACAGCCTGGTTGATCAGACCCTGATCCACCGTGAGGCCTGGTCTCAGACCGAGCCGCGAGGGCGTTGACCCCCGAAACCCTCTCCAGGTAAACTACAGGTAAACCCCTAATATAACTTATGAACATCAGGACAGACTGGGATTTACGGTTATAAAAGCTGACTTTGTAAATGGTCCAAGTCGGACCGAAACGTCGTCGTAAGCTTCTCTCTTTCATGTGCGGGTTATTTGTGTATCGTTCCAGTCACGGTATTGTGCCTTTTTTTATTTACAACATCAGTTAATTTATATAGCTAAGCCCTGTTATATGTCAAGGATTTAGGGACGTAGGGTTACATGAAGATCTGGGAATCCCTGTGCTGGGTTAGGGCCAGGGCTAGTAGGTACCTGTGCTGGGTTAGGGCCAGGGCTAGTAGGTACCTGTGCTGGGTTAGGGCCAGGGCTAGTAGGTACCTGTGCTGGGTTAGGGCCAGGGCTAGTAGGTACCTGTGCTGGGTTAGGGCCAGGGCTAGTAGGTACCTGTGCTGGGTTAGGGCCAGGGCTAGTAGGTACCTGTGCTGGGTTAGGGCCAGGGCTAGTAGGTCTTGACTAGAAGGTTAATTTGATTTGGCATCATCTGTTCCAAGATTTTCTTCCAAATTCCTGAAAATTTTCCTCCTGTTTTACTTCACCTTCTGAACATTTCGTAATAGTTTTGATAGCATTTTTTTTCTTTTTCCATCCTACCATCAGCCTCCTGAAGGTCATAGACAATCACTGCTCCTTTTCTAATTCTTTCACTCAAGATTGTCCTGTCTTTTGAGGTTTCTGTTATCATCTCCTGTGCTTTCTGGTTTTCCATGAGAAACCCTTCAAGACCCCTTGTTCTCCATCTTAAATTCTTCACTCCTGCTATCTTCTTTATTTTTATGTCCACTTTTACTCTCCCCTTTGCTCCTTCTAATGCCTCCTTTAGTTTTTTAATTTATCTTATAATTATTGGCTACTCTATTGTTCACAATTACTCTTTTCTCCTGCTTTAGTCTTTTAATTTATCTTATAATTATTGGCTATTCTATTGTTCACAATTACTCATTTCTCCTGCTTCTTGCCTTTCTTCCTTGGTGTTCGGACCATTTCTTATATCTTCTCTCAGTGAGCACTTAACTTTCTTTCCTATTCGTCCTCTCATTCGCACCTCAGTCGACTAACATCAGATCTAACAATCTGCATCCTACTACCCCTTCTGCTCAACCATCTGCTTTAGTGTTCTTCTGATGTCTTATATAATTTCACCTAGAAATGTACATAGCTAAGTTTATAAACTTTGAAGACACCACTGTTGTAAAATTCCATGAAGGTTTCAAGCACGAAAACATTATCTCAATTTTCCCAATTCATTTTCCCTCCCCAGCCTGGGACTTACACAAACCAGAATCAATTGGTCTTTAAGTAAGACTGACTAGTAAATGTGTAAGATTTTTAAACCTTGAGCAAATAACATACAATAATTTGGAGCGTTAATAGGTGTATTAGGCAGTAAATATATTTAACCTAAGATAGGCCAGCAAAATAAAAAAATATAATTTATACATCATCAGGTTAGACATTTTTCACAGAGTCTAACCTCATTTTTGCTTCATTAAAACTGACAAATTAAAACTTGCACAATTTAATATCACGACAAAACATCCTTTGAGGAAAACTTATCAACACTAAATGTTTAAAGACCAGAAGATGAAGTCTTCAATTATTGCACTAAATTGATGCCGTTCGCATTTCTTTTATTTTAATGATCGCAAAGTGCTAAATCTGTAGGGGTCACGTATCGCTTGTGTAGTGGGAGGCATTCAGATCTGATCCAAGGAAAAGGAGGATGAGTCGAATTCCTTACTATACCATTTCGAGATTGAAAGTGAGAAAATAGCATCTACACACTCCACCTAAATTACTAAATTACCTAAATTACTGGGAAAGCCTTCAAGTCTTGAACATGTACTCACTGGAGAGGAGGAGAGAGAGATACATGATAATATATACCTGGAAAGTACTCGAGGGCTTGGTCCCAAATCTTCACACTGCCATAACCACATACTGGAATGAGAGGTATGGGAGGAAGTGTAAAATAAACCCAGTGAGGAGAAGGGGGTGCGGTGGGCACAATAATGGAACACTGTATAAACATCCGGGATCCTAGACTACCAGAAGATATAAGAAACACGGCTGGAATAAGTGTAGAAATCTTCAAGAGGAAACTGGGCAAGTAACTTCGTCAGGTGCCAGATCAACCAGGCTGTGATGGATATGTGGGGCAGCGGGCCTCCAGCAGCAACAGCCTGGTTGACTAGGCAAGCACAAGAAGAACCTGGCCCATGGCCGGGCTCCGACAGTAATGAAACTCTCGAAACTCTTTAAAGGTAATTCAAAAGTATATCAATTAACAACACCAACCTTCTACGTATAATACACCAGTGTAGAAATTCTGAAGCCGACCAGAGGCTTTCTGACGTTATCTCATTTAAACCAATTTCGGGAGTGGTCTACATAAGTGAGCAGAGATCACCCACACTTGTCACCTGTTCCACGAACATTCACCAAGCCGTCGTTGGTGGAATATATTGTAAGACGATTGTGTCACTACAATAAGATAACTGTGTTAAAGTAACACTAAGACACAGAACCCATATATCACCAGGACTCACAGTTAAATCTAAATATTACCGCGGCAAAATTCGCTCAGATAAAAACTGGATTAGACGAACTAAAAGTGAGTTCAAAGTTACCTTAGTTACTATCATAACAATTTTTAAATTATAATGTCATTAGGGTTTAGAATTTTACATAGGCAAAGAAAGATTACTGATTACTCCTCACTTTTCATGTGTTGTTACAGTGTAATTATTTTCCTGAGAACGAATTTTCTAATGTTAATGTTGAGTGTGAAAATATTCTCATGTTGAAAGTAGGTCAAATTTATCCTTGGTTAATAGAAAGAGATGTTTAAAATATAATTGTTTTATTGCATTAACAAAATTACATTTTGTGAGCATCAGTCATAGTCAAGAAAGAATGTCGAGCGAGGAAGCAGTTTTTCATCCATAGTAAGGGCGTCGGAAGCCTCCAAAGCCTCCAAAACTACTGAAGCCTCCAAAGCCACCATGACCAAAGTGACCGGCATCTGCTTCAGGCTCAGCGAGAGCTTCAGCGCTTCTCTTTCCTCGGTACCCGAATCCACCATATCCTCCTCTGAAGCCTCCAAAACCTCCTCGAAAGTCACCGAAGCCTCCACCAAATCCGCGATGACCAAAGTGACCGGGATCAGCTTCAGGCTCAGCTACAGCCTCTGGATCAGCTTCAGCACTTCTCTTTCCTCGGTATCCAAAGCCACCATATCCTCATCTGAAGCCTCCAAAACCTCCGAAGCCTCCACCAAATCCGCGATGACCAAAGTGACCGGGATCAGCTTCAGGCTCAGCTAGAGCCTCTGGATCAGCTTCAGCACTTCTCTTTCCTCGGTATCCAAAGCCACCATATCCTCATCTGAAGCCTCCAAAACCTCCTCCAAAGCCTCCACCAAATCCGCGATGACCAAAGTGACCGGGATCAGCTTCAGGCTCAGCTAGAGCCTCTGGATCAGCTTCAGCGCTTCTCTTTCCTCGGTATCCCAAAGCCACCAATCCTCCTCTGAAGCCCCCAAAAACCTCCTCCAAGCCTCCCCAAACCGGATGCCCAAAAGTGAGGGGGATCTGCTTCAGGTCAGCAGAGCTTCGCGTTCTTTTTCCCCTCGGTCCCGAACCCACCTTTTCCCCCCTCTAAACCCTCCGAAACCCCCAAAAGCCCCCCGAAGCCTCCCCCAAAAACCCGCGAGACCAAAGTGCCCGGGATCAGCTTCGGTCAGCTGACCCTTTGGGAAACAGCTTCAGCGCTTCTTTTTCCCTCGGACCCAAAAAGCCACCATATCCTCCCCTGAACCCTAAAAAGCCACCAAAGCCTCCACCAAATCCTCGATGACCAAAGTGACCGGGCCCCAGCATCTGGAGCAGGAGCAGCGCTTGTTCCACCAAGCACAAGGCAGCAGGAGGCAGAAAAGATGGGGATCAACACTTTTATATTATTTTTTAAATTATTGTACAAAGTGATCATTTTTTTAAATACTGTGTAAAGTTATTGTTTTTAAAAATATTTTTTTATAAGCCAATACTTTAAAACAAGTAATTTTTTACTCTGTTAAAATATTAACATGTTTGTTAGTTGAAAAATTTAAGTGGCTTGAGTATCCTTCATAAATACGGGGTATTCGATGGGTCGTCCTCATTTTTTGGGGAGAGTTTAATTGTTTTGAAAATTAGTAAATATATATGTGAAAAAAATTTTGGCAAAAATTAAGTTGTTGAAAACTAGTATAAAAAAGCAAAATGTAACAACCAGAGTCTTCATGGTTGGGAGGATCTCTGATCGACTGTGTAAGCTGAGGGGGAGCCTTTATACCACTCACCAGACCCCCCAGGTAAGTATTACCATCATTTTTTTCCAAGAAGATAAGTAAAATAAGATAAAGATTCGTTCGGATTTTTAACCCCGGAGGGTTGCCCCCCAGGAAACCAAAAAAATCAGTGCGCATCGAGGTGTCTAACTTATTTCCTTGGGGTCCTAATCTTTCCCCCCCCGGGTCGACCCCCCCATCGCTAAACCCCAGGTACCTATTTGTGCTAGGTGAACAGGCAAAGGTGTAAGGAAACGGTCGGAATTTCCCCCTCCGGAATCGAACCCGGGGCCCTCCGGTGTGAAAACGGGGCTTTAGCCACCAGACCACCGGGCCCCCTTAAGAACGACTCCCCCATTTTTGTTCGTTTTGTTTTTACCCCTGGGAATTCTTTTTTTACGTAGTGAGTAACACAGTTTATATGTATTGGGGGTTGTATACATTTTGAGTATTTTATTGTATTGCTCAGAATAAGTTTTATTAATAACCCACATGAAGACAGGGGGGTCGAAACTCGCTCCAGGGTACACCCCTCAACTGGCTTGCTGATTTACATCCCTTCCCTTGTGGGCTCTGTCGCACTTGCTCCTAAAACTTGTAGGGTTTGCTTTCCACATCCTCAAGCATTACACTTCCTGTACCACCTCAAAGCAGAATAATTTCTTCTGATATGCCATTGGCACTTCTGTGTCTTTAATTTCCCAAATTTGGGTGATTCCGTTTACGTTTTTTTCGCCTTTCAAAGAGTATATTTTTTTCTATCCTAAAAATTCCAATGAGTATCTTGTATGTGTTATCATTTTTTTTGTTCTTCTTTCCTGTAAATTCTCTACTTTATTTACTTTAGCTGATCGTCTCGGCTCTTGTCTCTTAACCTGGGACTATCTCGATGTATGTCTATGCACTTTGTCCAGTGTCTTATGTTGTTTTTTAATGAGCAGTGGGTACCATGTTGGTTCTGGATAATCTAAGACGGGCCTGACAAATATATATAGGCAGTGAAAAGCTCTGTAAGCCCTTTTTGGGTTTTATATTTCGTGTCATGGTACTAACCCTGTGCTACCGCCTGGGGTTTGCGTTTAGACCTACCTAGACTTCACTGCGCGACACACTGTACTCCCCTATTTCTGGTTCCAGGGGTCAGTTCACAGTCCTCGACACAACTCTTCGCTAGTGGCTAATAGTTCTCTCTCTCCTTGCTCCAAGAGCCTTATCGTACTCTCCCAAAAGCAGCTCTTCATTATTTAAACTCATGTAGCAGACGAATTATGGACCAGAACTCCCCTTCTTTGATTCCTTTAGGTCAGAAGACCTGACTAGGGCAGCCTAAACACAAAAAAGGGTGTAAAAAATAAAAAAAGCTAAGACACGCCTCACTATAATATAATAATAATAATAATTTAAAAATAATAATATAAAAATAATAATAATAATAATAATAAACTAAATAATTAAATAATAATAATAATAATAATAACCTATTGATACAGCCCATTTTTGAAATTCCTGAAAGGTACTCATAGATTTGTCAAAGGCGCATTCGCTGCAGAGGTTATTCGGTTGATGTGAGCTCTGTAGGTATGAAATTGATACTAGGCTCCTTGTCATAGGCTTGATACTTGTCTCTGTTTCTCTTTTCTGTATTTTAAAAACATTAAACTTGTTATTCAAAACTGATTGTATAATCATTAGAAATGTCTGGTTGACGCCGTAGTTTTGAGAAATGGTAGATAAGTTTCAGTGTTGACGAAAGTAAATTTTCATATAACATCTTAAATATTACTGATATATAATAATCTTAAATCTGGAAAAAAAAATAATAATCTTAAATGTCACTAGATTTAAGACATAACTAAAAAAATGGTTCTTGAAGCAATCATAAGCAACCCTATGTATGGTTAACCAATGTCTATTTCGAGCAACAAGGTTACCAGTAATCTAGATTTCGTAATTAGGAATTTCACTGCAAAATATCAGAAAGGAATTTAAAAAATGAATGTCAGCCACTTCTTCAATATTCTGTCCAGGTTTGGAGCCAAGCTACATAGCAAGAGGCTGGAGAGGATCGACAAAGTAGTAGCAGTTTGTAGAAAGAAGATATGTGAGGCTTTTATTAAGTGAGGGTTGGTTTGAAGTTTTCAGTGAAATACAGAGTACGTGAATCAGAAGAGAGTTATGATGCCCCGTGCATGCAGCAAGGTCAACCACTTGTTTTTTGTCTCAGGGTTTTCCAGGGGGTTTTTGAGCAGCAGCAGCCACAAACGTTTGAAAATTCATTCTTCTGGCCGCCTATCTTTTCCAGAGGCACCCCCGTGCTACAGCGGGCTACATTTTCCCGGCCTGTGCCTGGGCTATCATCCTGCAGTAAAAACCCTGAAAATTTTTGGTAGATGGAACAAGAGGTAGGAGGTGGCGAGAAGGAAAGTTGAAGAGGGAGGGGCAAAAAAGGCTAAAAAGGGAGGAAAGGGGGGTAGTAATGGAGAAAAGTGGAAGTACGAGATAGGGAGGGATTTAGAGAGGGGGGTGAAATCTGGGACGGAGTTAGGGGGAGGTAATGAGGGTGGGAGGGGGAGAAAATAAGAAAAAACAGAAAATGCTTAATGCAGAAGCTATTGGTCTATTTTGCACTCATCACCCATCTTGTGGAGGGTAACGCATGAGCATATGGATACACAAAGGCCTAGAAACTAGGATACAAAAAAGGAGTTAACAGTAGTACATAGGGATATATTTCTAAAAATTTTCGTGAAAATTGTATATTAGTTGAAAACGTCTGAAACTTTATTTTGATTAATAAGATACCTTAACATATCACAGTTTATTATCTATCTTTATATTCCTCAATAAGCGGACACTGAATCACATAGCGTTCAAGAAGTAACCATAAAGTCGCCAACACATATTTCGTATTTACTTTGATAATCGTGGGTGTGCAGTATATATCAAACTGCAGTATATATCAAACTAAGCCTAAAAAACCATACCCCCGGCCGGGATTGAACCCGCGGTCATAGAGTCTCAAAACTCCAGCCTGTCGCGTTAGCCACTAGACCAGCTAGCCACAATAAGATTCATCCAACTAGGTATATTTCTACACCATAGGAAGGTTAGCACAGCCACCTCTGTGACCACAAATGCAAGTTTTTACAGACGAATCTCCAGCTAGCGTGGCCGTGACGAACTCTAGCTCAAGTCCCTTCACTGCCTCAACATGACCAAGAAATCTTAATGACACGATTGCAAAAAACCATACCCCCCCGGGATTGAACCGCGGTCTAGTCCAAAACTCCACCCCGTCGCGTTAGCCACTAGACAGCTAGCCACAATAAGATTCATCCAACAGGTATATTTCTACACCATAGGATGAATCTTATTGTGGCTAGCTGGTCTAGTGGCTAACGCGACGGGCTGGAGTTTTGAGACTCTATGACCGGGGGTTCAATCCCGGCAGGGGTATGGTTTATTTGCAATCGTGTCATTACGATTTCTTGAGTCATGTTGACGGCAGTGAGGGACTTGAGCTAGAGTTCGTCACGGCACGCAGCTGGAGATTTTGTCTGTTAAAACCTTGCATTTGTGGTCACAAGAGGTGCCTGTGTCTACCCTTCCATGTGTAAAATATGACTCAGAATATTAACTATTGGATGAATCTTATTGGGCTAGCTGGTCCTATTGGCTAACGCGACGGGCTGGAGTTTTGAGACCAATGACCGCGGAGTCAATCCCGGCGGGGTATGGTTCATTTGCAATCGAGCAGTTAACGAATCTTGAGTCCAAAAACTAAGCCTAGGTCTGCTTGCTACACAAGATTTATCACTCCTAATTACAACAGCTGCTCCGTAAATGGCGATTACCTACGTTCATGTTATCTCTGTGAATTATTTCTTACCAAGTTTTTTAAAAGTCTACCTATCACATTTCAGATTAAATAATTAAACCATACCACGGACGGAGATAGAACTCGCGATCAGAGGGTCATACAACTTTCGACCTACGCAATGCCACTCTCTAATCGCGGGTTCTGTCCCCGGCAGATGGTATGGTTTGTTTGTCAATCTGCAATTACGGTTTCGGAGTCAGATTAATATTTACGTAACTATCTAAATATTTTTAATACTTGATGGCAATACTATCACTCTACTTTTTCCTTCAAAATATTTTGTTTGCCCCTAATTT